CCCTGAACCGAGACAAATGCATTTCCTGAAGAGCTCCTCGGAGGTGGTATCAAGCACAGACCTACTTCTATCTCTCGTGAAACTATGTTCTCGAATCTGCCAAAATTAGGACAGAGAGGTTCACTCCTGTATCTATGCTTATGTAGCCTAGTTTTTGTTTTTCTATTGGACTCTGAAAAATTGTTTTGGGGTGGTGTTTTTTTCTTTGTTTCATTTTTGGTATTTTGTTTTGTTCTTTGGGTTCTTGGCTGGTTGGTTGGTTTGTTTTGGTTTGGTTTTTTGATTCTGGGGATTGAACACCAGGCCTTTTCTCTGAGTTATATCCCCAGCCCTTTTTTTATTTTTTATTTTGAGACAGGGTCTCACTAAGTCCCCAAGTTGCCTAGGCTGGACTCAAAGTTGTGCTCTTCCTGCCTCAGCCTCCCAGAGTGCTGGGATTACAGCCATGTGTCACCATGCCCAGCTCCTCATCATTTGCTCTTGAAATGGTGAAATTCTATTTGGCTTTTTTTGTTGTATTTGTTTTGTGATATACGTTTTTAAAAGTCAGAATTGCCAGAAAGCCCTTCCTGGCTTGCTTACTAGGTTAACAGAACAGTGACCCTGCACTTCCAACCTCCGAGGGAAGACAGGCGTGGTGGCGCACGCTTATAAGCCCAGCACTGGAGAGGCTGAGGCAGGAGGATCACTGCGAATTCTAGACCAGCCTGGCCTACAAAGTGAGTTCAAGGCCAGCCTGAACTGCATGTCTCCAAAAAAAAAAAAAATCTCAGCACATAACCAGGGAAAGAGGCCCAGATTCTGAAGACACGCTCGTAGCTGTGTGAGGACAGGCGAAGGCCGTGCTGGAGACAGAGCTGGAAGCTGCCTGGGCTTGCTCTGCGCTCACATTGCGTCCCTTTTCTCCAACTAAGAAATACAGACTCTGCTATAAACACTGTAATTTGTTTTCTTTAAATTCATAAAACCACACAGACATCTGTGTTCAGTGTCCTCTGGATTCTGTGCTAATACTACCCATCTACTCTTGTCTTTTTTTTTTTTTTTCTTTTTGAGACAGGGTCTCACTGTGCAGTTCAGGCTGGCCTTCAGCTCACTTTGTTTCTCAGGCTGGCCTCAAACTCGAAACGATCCTCCTGCCTCAGCTTCCTGAGTGCTGGGATTACAGGTGTGCGCGACCACTCCTGGATATTGTTCTCTTCAAAAACAGAAAGCTTCTGTCTCCCTCGCAGGAAAAGCATACCAGAGTCTTGTTCACTATGTTGTCTGTCTGTCCATACACATAGAGTCCTGACTGACTGCCTAGAATGCTGCCGTCCTTACAACAGGAGCCTTCATTTCCTTTCTCAGCTGTCGAGTGCTAAGTCATTCTCCTTGGGATGGACGCCACGTATTATCTAAAAAGATGCTCAGAAAGCAACATCAGCAGTTATTTCTGAGGGTGGTAAGCACGTCGGATATGGAAAAAAGAAAAATCAGGTAGATTTCCATCATTCCTCAGATGCACTCAGAGAATGGCACATAGTTTCCATGAAACCAAAATCTTTCTCATCTCAATCTTACAGATTCCAGACTATGTTTCAGAAAACGGGCATGCTTTTGAACAGTTGGGCCCCACTGTCACATTGAAAACTTTGGAGGTGTATTCACATAGAAAAACTATATTAGTAGACCAAAAATTTTTTAAAAATTGTTTTAGCAAGAAAAAGGCAGCCTGGCCTATGAAAATTCATAAAATTCTACAATAAGAAAAAGTCTTGGGCTGGGGATATAGCTCAGCGGCACAAGCACCCGCCTTGCAAGGCGAGGTCCTGAGTTTGATTCCCGGTACCAAAAAAAAAGTCTAAAGGATCGTCCAATTCAAACCCAGGGATAGGGGAGTGGCTCAGTGGCCCAGCACTAACCTAGCATGTGCAAGGCTCTGAGTTCATGCCCAAGCACTAATAAATAAATAAGTAAAATACAAACACATTCCGGTCTTTCCCACATCGGAGGATACACACCTGGCGGCAGACACTCCCCAAGTGGCTTACTCTTCCCAACTCTAAGCAGTATTGTCAGATTCTCAAGGCTCCCTCCTCTTCAGAGCCCCTACTCCTCACTCTCAGAAGCTTTTCTTTGGTAACTTTGCCATATGGCCACATTTTACTCACTGAGACCAAAAATTGCTCATTGAGCTAGGCCTGGTGGTACACGGCTGTATTCCTAGCTGTTTGGGAGGCTGAGGCAAGAGGATCTTCATTGGAGGTGATGGAAACAGGAAGTAAGGATTAGTTGAAGGGAATGGATCATGGAGTGTGACCTTGAGGACTCTACCTGGTTCAAGGCTAGCCTTGGCAAATTAGTGAGACCCTGTCTCAAAATTAAAAAATAAAAAGCGCCGGGGATGTAGCTCAGTGCTCATTTGGTCCAACCCACTATACTGCAACAAAACAAAATAAAAAATCTGCTCATGGAATTCGTAAGGCGTCTCAAGGATGAAAGAAGGACCCAAACAAAGCTCTCTGGGCCTTATATTCTATGGGTGCAGACAGAAGACAAACTGCTAAGTCCACTCACACCGAGTGATAAATAAGCACCATGGTGGAAATAAAGGGTAGACTGGCTGTGAAAGGGGAGCGATTTTAGGGTGGGAGGGAAGAGCACCCCACTGAGGAGGAGGCGCTCAGACAAAGCCCCGTCTCGGTGCACAAGCTGCACCGTGCAATGGGAGCAGGAAGAGCAAAGGCGGCAGGGATAAACGCTTGAAGTCTAAGGAATGTCAAGGCCAGTGTGGCTGAAACGGAGCCCATGAGGGAAGAGAGGCAGAGAGGGAGACTGGAGAGGCAGCCGGGAGCCACGTGGTTTTGTTGTGGAGCCGGTACCTCACGGTGGAAAACGCTCTGCACCAAGGAGTTGGAAGGCAACCAACTTTCTTACGCCAGCAGCAGGCTGATGGGAAATCACTCCCAAAGCATCAGCCCAGAGCCGGCTTTGGGCTTAGTTTACATAGGTTTTGCAAGCAGGAAGTACAAAGGCTTAAAAGCGTGGTGAATTTTTATTGGGCAGCATCCGTTATCCTTCGTTGCTGAGCAGAAAGTCCTTGAAACAAGTCAGCAAACAGGGTATGTTCGGGACTAAAAGTACAGGCTGTGCTGCTGGGTGCCGTTGAACTGAGCTGCGTCAGGTTTTCTCTGGTTTGCAGCCGGATGCAGTCAGCCAAGGCTGCGTGACCTAACAGACGAGCTACGTGGTGGGCTGCGTGACCTTATTTTGTCCTGATATGGTGTCAGACTACTAGTTGATTCTAATTGTTAAAAATTTCCATCCCGGTTTAAAGGCTGCTTTGCTTAGGATCCAAGAGGTTCGTTGTGTTGCAGGCTTGAGTGCTGATGGGCTTTTGGAAGGTGATTGGATCACAAAGCCTCCAATTTCATCAGTGGACTAAGTCATCAGTGACATCACAATCTGATGGCATTATTGGGAGGTGATGAAGACAGGAGGCGGGACTAGTTGAAAGAAGTGGCTTGTGGGGTGTGGCCTCCAGGACTATGTCCAGTCCCAGCCCCTCCTCCTCTGGCTCTCTCACCCTGCCTCCTGACTGCCATACCCTGTGCCCCCATGTCCTTTCCTCGGCTACACCCTTCTGCCGTGATGGTTCTGCTCCTCCACAGGCCTGAAGCAATAGACCCACGTACCATGGACTGAAACATCCAAAACCAGGAGCCAAGATAAATCTTTCTGTCTTCGAGTTGTCTATGTTGGGTATTTTATCACAGTGACAGGAAGCTGTCCAACACAAAGGCTGAGGATCACATTTTGCAGAGTGGAAAACAGGTCCACGGCATACATTCAAGACCCTGTCTATCTTAGTTTCTGTCTTTTCTTCATATTCTGGCTGGTCAAAGTCTCTGTTAAAAAAAATAAAAAGCAACCCAGAATTGTCCCTAGTATTCCAGGGGAGGCCTAATTAAACCAAGAAGAGCAGGACCATCCCCTCTTTTATTCTGATGTAATGTTTCTTCTTTTTTTTTTTTTGGTTTTTCTCGGGTACCAGGAACCGAACTCACGACCTTGCGCTTGCCAGGCAGGCGCTTTTGCCGCTGAGCTAAATCCCCAGCCCCTGATGTAATGTTTCTTTAATAACAGCTGAGGCCTCTCTTGTGTATTTTGGGAAATCATTCATGGGGTCTGTTTACTTTCACACGTGGTACCCATAAGACACATTTCCACCGAAGTTTCTTCCCACCCCTTCCCCTCCTGCCTCCTGCGTATATCTGCTGACATCTTGAAGCTTCGGGAAACACCATCCTAGAAACTGAGTTCTGACCTTCTTAGAGCAAAGACTTTATTGTATTTGCCTCATCCTGACTCCATTTCAATGTTCAGATTCCAACAATCCTGAACTGGTTTGGATGGCTGTTAAGGGGCCCAATTATGGAATATTATACTATTATATTCTATCTGATTATACTTGACACAACCTCTTTCCAACCAAGTCCATCTGGAGGAGGAAGTGGTCCTTCCTACAGCTTTCCCCTGCAGACAGCAACTACGCAGTTGACTGCAGTTAGCAGTCCATTCCCTGGGTATCAGCCCACATCACACACCCTGGAAACGGAAGGGCAGAGCCCCAGCTACCAGGGCGGGGACTGGTGACTGTGCCTCCCCTACCTGCCTATTCTTCCCCCTCCAACAGCACTCCTGGGCAGCGAGCCTCAGTAATTGACGGAGCAACCCACTTTTAAAAGTCCCATGCTGGGCGTGGTGGTGCACGCCTGTAATCCCAGCGCTTGGGAGGCTGAGGCAGGAGGATCGTTGTGAGTTCGAGACCAGCCTGAGCTATAAAGTGAGCTCAAGGCCAACCTGAACTGCATAGTGAGAACCTGTCTCAAAAAGACCAAAAAAAAAAAAAAAAAAAGTAAAAGTCCCACGTTTGAACAGCTGGAAACAATCTACATCTCAGGAGGTGAAGATATTTGGAGGACTGAATTCTCCTTAAGAGGTCAGAAGACGGAGGTATGGTGGCCACGGACACAGAGAAAGGACACAGTGCCCACCCCCGGGCAGCGGTGCGCTGGCAGCTTCCTCATCCCTCTCCCTGGGCCTCAGTTTTTACAGCAGCAAAATGAGGAGGGAGAACGAGCCGGTCCTTAATATCCTTTCATCTTCCACTTCCTACAAGCTTTGTGAGCGGGAAGGATTTACACAGAGCTTCATCTTGATTTTATTACGCACCATTCATCTTCCTTCGGGAGCCTGAGGCAGCCTGTGCATAGGGAAGTAAGTGGCTCACGCCCTCCGGGGTGATTTAAGAGGCGTTGAGAACTCAAAGTCTCTCCATCAGAGCTGTGCTACAGCCAGGCCTGGCGCTCTCCGGTCCTCGAGCCAGACCTGGGCTGCGGCACTGTTCTATGCGATTTCAAGTTCAAACCACAAGCACCTATGTCGCTCACTGGAACGTGCAAGCCTGCACCTCTGGATTCCCTAGGGATGACATGAGGATGGTACCCAGCAGAGTGGCTGTCACCAGAAAAGGGTGTTGCAGCGCTAGACAAGCCTGGGGGAGAAGCAGTGCGGCAGCACCCCCCAACAGGGAAGAGCTAGGCCAGGTGGGGACCACCTGGGGCTCCGCCTGAACTTAGGAAGGTGAGGGGTGGCTCTGGGCCCTGCACAAGCTCTGCCTCCTCTACAGTCACCTGAGCCTCTTCTCTCCAGCGAGCCGGAGCCGAGCAGGAAGGAGGGGAGTCCCTGACCACCGTCCGGGGCTCTGTGCTTTCACCATGTCCCCCAAATTCATGTTAGAAGCTTGATCTCCCATACAGAGGTGCTGGGAGGTGGAGCCTAAAGAGAAGTGATGGGGTCACCAGGCCTGCAGCCCCATGAACAGAGCAACAGGGGGCCAGAGGAGCAAGTCCATTACCTAGAGAGTGGGGGACCGCACTGCCCCTGTGCCTCCTCTGCACCTGCTCCACCACGCTGTCATCTGCCACATTATGGTGCAGCACCAAGACCTGCCAGGACCCTGAAACTGTGCCCCATGGCCCCAGCTTCTAAAATTGCGAGCTACTCCATTTTTGTTGTACTCAGGTGTTTTGTCACAGTAACAGAAAGCTGACCGAGACACTTTCCAGCAAAGGGGAAGCCTGACAGTAGCTCCAGGAAAAGAAGACTTCCTTAGAGGCAGCCTCTCCCCACTTCCACCATCTGGACAGAGAAGGCGAACCCTTCAGAGACCCAGTGCCCAGACTGCAACGCAAAACCCACCTATTTGTTGCCCAGTGCTAACAGTGCAATTAAACCTCAGTGTTCATCTGCTGGTGTGACTTGGCCTGCGTGCTGAGAGGGCTCCACGTGCCCACCGTGGCACACGTGGCACAGGTTCGCCACCACTGGCCTAGACTCTGATCACAAAAGCCTAAGGAGGAGCGGGGCATGGCGGCACACACGTGGAATCACGGCACTTGGCAGGCTGAGGCAAGATGATCAGTCCGAGCTACACAGTCTCAAAAAACCAAAACCAAACCCAAAGAGACTAGGGCTCACTAGCCACGCGAGGGAGAAGGTGGCCTGCATCTGTTGTAGCAGTAACTTAGCTAGGAAGTACTGAGGCCGCTTCTCCTTGGCCCAGAGGCCCCCTGCATTAATGGGAAGTTGGCTGTAAGCCTAAGGAACTATAGGCATCCTCCCATCCACGCCCCCAAAACAGATGTCAGGCTTCATGGGGTGTAAGCCCCACACTGGTGGCTTCAGTTCCTAACCTGAAGAAACGGAGCAGAGCGAACCATGAGGAGACCTTCCCAGCATTTGTGTGGGTGTATTTATGCACATGGCAGCTGCACAAGGTTTAGAAATAAATGAAGCGTCCCATAGCACCCTGAGGTATTATTCTACCACGGTGCTTCTCAAACATCAATTCTCTCTGCAGTCTGTTGGAACACATGTAGACATTAGACTTGAGACTAGGCTGCTTACGGACTTTCTTAGCAGGCTGGGACTGTCAACTCTTCATCTCATTCCGGGGGCAGGATGAGGTGTTCTGGTGACTTATGAGTGTGTAGATATTAAGTAGTAAAAATGGCCACTGAAGGGGCTGGGGATTTAGCTCAGCGGCAAAAGCGCCTGCCTGGCAAGCGCAAGGTCGTGAGTTCGGTTCCTGGTACCGGAGAAAAACAAAAAAAAAAAACCACAAACCATCACCTCGTACGTATCCATCTCCTTGTCTCCAGGGTAAATACCTTGTAAGATCAGTGGCGCCAGAAATCCCTGTTCTTCACAGTGCAGCAGAAACTTCTGGGTATATTGTAAGAACTGCATTAGATCTTCTAGCACACACATGTGCGTGTGTGTTTGGAGACCAGGTCTTGCCTAGGCTAGGCTCCAATGTGTGATCCTCCTGTCCCAGTCTAAGTGCTGGGATTACAGGTGTGTGCCACTGCACCTGCCTGACCCTTCCAGTTTACTATGCCACCCCTCCTTACTACTGTACATTTCCTTTGTAGCAGAATGGAACATGGGGGATTTTTCAAATCCAGTTGGATACTGCAGGGATCCTAGCCTCCGGCCCAGGGAATTTCCCTAATAAGCCACAAGACTTGGGTTAGCCAGAGATAATAGCTACTCAAGTACACACTTTAGAGAGGGTGCAGGCATTCTGAGACTCCTGCTAATGAAAGGCTACAGTAAAACCCTGAGGGGTAAAAATGCACTGATTACGTCCATTGTGAAATACAGGTCTGGAAGGACCTAAGCACGTCCTTGTCTACTGCAAATCGGCCTACTTGTCTTCTAAACACGGTGCCGGTTCAATGCATGTTGAAGCTGACTCACGCTGCCCTAAGCTCCCCGCCGCTAAATTGCATCATAGCTAGAAATTTAGAATTAGAGGTTTGAGACTCAGTGAGGCAGAAGGACCGTGTGGTCACTGCCAAGTCCAGAGCTCCCTCTGCTCATGACTAAAACAGGAGTGAAGCAGCCACCTCATTGCCAGAAGGGTTGAATACATCGAAGTTGGCAGTGCTCTTTCCCCAACACCGAAACTATTTCTTGCGTGCTTGCTGTAGCTGGGCCTGCCCCAAACACACACACACTAGGTAGGGACTGCGTGCTCTGCGCAAGGGGCCGCAAACACATCTCCTCTCTACGCACCCTGGCTGGGGTGACCAGCAAGTGGCTTTCCCTGGACCTGGGTTGTAAGGGTCACCTTATTTTTTGTGTACGGTGCAGGGGACTGAACCCAGAGTCTTATGCATGCCAAGAAAGCACCATACCACTGAGCTATGTCCCCAGCCTTCAAAAGCATTCTTTTGCGAGAGGGTCTCAATAAGTTGCCCACTTGTGTTCCTCCTGTCTCAGCCTCCCAGGGTGCTAAAATGACAGGCGTGCACCAACGTACCGGGCAGGCCACGTGTATTTCCCTTTATCAAAGCTACCTGTTCTTTACAATCCACTGCCCCAACCAGCGATCAAGATTTCTGCTCCAAGGGAACTTCCTTCTCTCCGCCTGCTTGCCTGCGCAAGCCCGCCCTCCCGTTCCCTCGCCTCTCTGGCCCTCCGCGCCTTGGTTTCCCCGTCCGCAATAACACGTCTCGCCGCCTCTCCGTCCGCGCTGAAGGTCCGCGGGGAAACGCCGAGCCCGGAGCCGGTCGCCTCTCCCGTCCGAATTTCGGACCAGCGTCTCGGAACCGCCTTCTGCCCGAAGCTGCGGAGCGGCGAAGCCCGGGAGCCGCCCGCGGCCCTAGGGACTGGCGGAGGGGGCGGGGCGGGCGAGAGCCCGGCCGAGAAGAGGGGGAGGAGAGGCCGGGCAGGAGGCGGGGGCGGGGCGACGGAGGGGGTAGGCGGGGCGACGGGGGAGGTAGGCGGGGCGACGGAGGAAGTGGGCGAGGGCGACGGAGGGTGGGCGGGGCGATGGGGAGGTGGGCGGGGCGAGGGACGGGGCGGACGGGCCTCTGATCGCTGCGCGGCCCCGGGAAGGTGCGGCCGAGGCGCGCGGGGAGCCGAGCGGCGGTCGCTCCGCGCCCTCCCTCCCGCAGCCCCGGCGTGCGGGTATCGCGCGCCCTGCCTGCCCGCGACGCGCTCGGCCGCGCAGCTCCGGGAACCCGGCTCCCGCACACTTCCGGGAGAGGGAGGCGTTCTTCTCCCGAATCCGCCGCGCCCTGGGTGCTCTTTGTGTTTACAGTGGAAAGTTACAGTTTAAACACGTAGCCGAGGAAATAAATGAGATTAGCAACCGCGGGCTTCGCTTCCGGGACGCTTTCTTGTTGTGTCTTGAGCCGGGACTCTGCGGGTCATCCGTGTAAGTGCGACCGGGCCGCCGTCCCGCGGGCGCGGCTCTGCTGGGGACCTCGGGGCGCGGCCCCCCAGCCCGCTCTGGTCGGCTAACGTCGCGGGGTTGGTGGCGTGGAAATGATCGTGTGCGCGTTGAGAGAAAAAAACAGATACCTAAATATATATCTACATATAATCTATCTATAAAATTGTTAAAATAGTCCCTAAAACAATCACAGTCCTAAAGAGTGAAGCCGTGTCTTCTTCTGGAGTACCATTACACCGTGGAACTATTCAAAACCCTCGCTGGTTACCCCACAGTCACTGTCCTGCATAAAGCAACTTGATAAAACGAACAGCGGTGGCGAAAGCTCAATTGCTTGTTCTACATGTCTTGTTTTAGCATGTTTAGCGTTATGTCACAGGTTGTAAATCACACAGCATCTGCTGCGTGTGTGTGTGTGTGTGTGTGTGTGTGTGTGTGTGTGTCCTCAGTTCTTGTTAGAGAGGCAGACAGACGCGGGTAATATCTGCTCTAAAGCAGAGAAGTTCAACTCAGAATTCCTCAGCGCAGTTATGAAGCAGATGCGAGCAGGGTGTCTGCTAAAACAAGGCTGGTTCCTAGAGACAGTTTGCTTCGTTTTCCTTTAAAATCAGTTAAAGGCTAGGACGTCACAAATTTAAAGTGAGCTGGTCACTCCAGAACCAGAACAAGGCATATTTACAATGGTAAGGTAATATAATAGACAAAATCGAATTTACAAAAATCGGGCCCTGAGGCCACACGTCTGCCACACTTATATAAAATCAAAAGAAAATGTGATGCACGGTTTAGTAAATTACACCAGCAGTAGTCAGAAGGCTGTCCCTTCCTGTCAGCAGGGTGCATAGACAAATGGAAACCATTTCCCTACCCTCTGTCCCTGTTACCTTATATACTTTAACTCCCTGGGATTTGTTTTTTGTTTTTTTGGGTTTGTTTGTTTGTTTGTTTCTGTTTTTTTTGAGACAAGGTCTTACTATGTAGTTCAGGCTGGCCTTGAGCTCACTTTGTAGCCCAGGCTGGTCTCAAACTCGCAAGATCCTCCTGCCTCAGCCTCCCCAGTGCTGGGATTACAGGCATGAACCCCCACGCCCAGTGACTGCCTGGGATTTGGATATTCCTCGTCAGAGGTTGCATGCAGGAGCCCCAGAGGCCTGAAGTTGAGTCCTATCTGTTGGGCCTGATGCCGTGTATCTTAAACTTTTGAATTAGTTGTGTCTATTTCAGAATTGGGAGGTTTCTCGTGAAAAGCTGGACTGGCTTCTCTGAAATATGAGAAGACCTGGCTGCCCTGGGTGGGACTGTGGGCTAATCTGCACAGCAGGGTTGGATATGGGGTGTCATTCTGCACTTCCCTGCGGTCTACACACCCCTGCCCTTTGACCTGTTAAGATACTTGTCTGTCCCGTGCAGATGCAGTTCCTAGTCCTAGTCCAGACCGACTGCTTCACTCAGCACTCTCTCTTTCCTAGGACTATTAAAGTCAAACGGGACCAAGCCATGCTACCACCTACACTTCATGCACATAAGGTACACGAAACTCTCAAATCTTGATTTCCAGAAATGCATTTGGGCAAAGTCAACCAATCAGAAGCTGGCTGTGTACATTTCCTGAAGACAAGCACTAGGCAATGTCTTGGTTCCCTCTATTCTGCATTTTCCTGAGATGCAGTGGGATGTGGTAGTGCTAGCATGTGTGGTCTCAGGAATAAAACTCAGAAATTTGATTCCCTGCTCATTACTTGCTGTGCAATGCTCGGCACCTTACTTACCATCTCTGTGCCCACTTCCTTAAACCCAAGGTGGTCACCAGCGTGCCACTGAAGATTAAGTCTTTGTAAAAGCGCCTGGAGCAGTACCTGACAGAGTAACCACCCGGAACAGGAGTTTCCCGCGCTGAGATTTCAGTTCCAATGTGAGTGCTTGAGCATTCTTAGATCTTTTCTGTAGCAGCAGAGTCCGGACTTTGACATACAGGAAATTTCCTGGGATATCTGCTTACAGTACCAGTTTCTGGGTCCCTCACCCAGGATTTTGATTCAGGAGGATCCAAGTGGGCCCCAGGGAACAGGCATTTCACATTTAATTCTGGAGCAAGAGTTCTCAGACCATGCAAGGAGAGCCTACCCTGGACCGGCCCTGTGTGGCCATTCGAGGGAATGCGGTAGAGAACCAGGGAGGAAGTCCAGGGCGACTCCCCGGCTGGTCCTGGCCAGCGTGCTGACCCTGCAGCTCCGTCTAATGCCCTCTCTGGATCCCAGCTGTCTCCTCATCAATTCACGGGCATTTATTGAGCCCCTACTGAACTTATGCAGAATGAACACTGGCACTCAGAGCTCGGTGAAGTGGTTTCTGGCTTCAGGGGGCTCAGGAAATCGAACACAAAGCCCAGGGCCCTGGGATTCACGTTCGCTTCCCACCACCAATCATTTACTACCATGCCTAATACCATCTTCTTCCCAAAGGCGCTCCGCAGTACCATCGTCCACCCTCCCCCAGTGTGCATTTTCATATAATCCTACAGAGCCTGGTATAGCAATCACTTCTGCGTCACTCCTGAACACTTAGGCCAATAGTTTAGGTGCTCATCAGATATTTTTAGAATTTAATTTCCTTGGACAAACTTGTCCTCAGGAATTAGTTTATGTTCAACCATCATGAAACATCTTATAAGAGCCAGGCACAGTTTTATAAACTGGGGACACATGCCAGGCATGGTGGCGCACGCCTGTAATCCCAACACTCGGGAGGCCAAGGCAGGAGGATCGTTACGAGTTCGAGCCCAGCCTGGGCTACAAAGTGAGCTCAAGGCCAGCCTGAACTGCATAGTGAGACCCTGTCTCAAAAAGACAAAAAAAAAAAAGAAAGAAAAAAGAAATTGGGGACACAGCAGGGGACAAAATTAAAAATCCCTGCTGCCTTGTGGGTCCTTGGATGGGGACTCAGGCTATATAAACAGCGTGGAATTTTTGTCAGTTCAGTTGTTGTCTGTGCCCTGACATCTGCTGCAATCTTGTTTGCTCTGTGACAGCCACTCCATTCCTCTGCCAAATGGACTTGTTTCCTAACTGTGGTCTGCACAGGCCTTGTCCTGGTGGTGACTTTATCTGTAGCTACAGAGCTCACCATGTAGGCTCTTTTGTGCGTGCGTACGTGCGTACTGCGTACGTGCATGCGTGCGTACGTGCGTACGTGCATGCGTGCGTACGTGCATGCGTGCGTACGTGCATGCGTGCGTGGTCATGGCACCACACGCACACAGGCCAGACAAGGGCTCTGCCACTGAGCCTCCCTCAGCCCACTTGTACTGTACTTTGAATCCAGCATCCATGTCTTTTCCAGGCTTTAACCAAGATCAGGCGTTCTTTTCCAAAAGCCAGAAGCTGCCACAGTAGACTGACTTTTAAAAAGATAACACGTATATTCCGTGCTTGGAATCTTTCTGTTGAGGTTGGCTGGACTCTGTTGCCTTGTTTGTTTTATTATTATAATATTGACTTTCTTTTGAAGTTTCTGAACCAGTATGCCACACAGAAAAATAACTCTGACTACTTTGAATTCCTATTCTATAAGTTATTTTGAGTAGTTTGGTGAATAATTTATCAGTAAGATATAATGCTATCTTTCTGTGATTTTAAAAAATAAGTTTTGCTGTATCCTTATTGAGCTGATTGGATTTTTTCTGGGCCGAATACTAGCTCTGGAGAAACAGAAGTTGTATTTCATCATAAAAATGAGCGGGGAGTGTCCATGTACCAAATATTCCACAAAGTAGAAAATTCAAGTGAAGAAGTATAATTTTCAGCAGAGCCCAATGGTTCACACCTGTAATCCCAGCTACTCAGAATAGTGATGTAGGAGAGTCACAAGTTCGAGGCCAGCCTGGGCAAGTTAGGAAGACCCTGTCTCAAAATAAAAAACACTAGAGATGTAGCCCAGTGGTGGTGTTTGCCTAGTGTGTACAAGCCCCTAGGTTCAATCCCCAGTGGAAAAAAAAAGAAAAAGTATAATTTCTATTTATTCTCTAGAGTGAGAGCTCTTTGTGAAAATTGCGTAAGATGTATTATGTCTATCTTTTTGCATGTATGTACTTGACCTCTGTGATCTTTGGCTTACAATGTGATCTATTATTTCCCAAGTCTAGGGGCTGGGGATTTAGCTCAGCGGCACAGCGCCTGCCTGGCAAGTGCAAGGTCGTGAATTTGATTCCCGGTACTGGAAAAAAAAAAAAAAAAAAAAAAAGATACCCAAGTCTAAATGACTTCCTGCTAGAATTTGAACTGGATTAATATAAATTCTTTGAGAAAAATTAAATATTGATTGTACTTTACGATTGTACTTTATGTTATGGAATGTAAGACGAACGGTTTGGTTTGGGTCTTCCGACGAGGCAGCACGTGAATACGCAGCTAGAGTTAAATGTGTTGGGTTATGGATGGTCTCTCTCGCCAGCAGCACAAGTCCAGACTGCTGCATCAGGACTTCACTGGAGTCTGCGCATGTACAACACCCGGGTGTGACAATTACTAGATCAAGCTGTCTATCTAGCCAGCTGGAGCTTTAATACTGTACAATCTGGCTACCTTGACAGGATAAGAATTCAGAAATTACATTCTCCTTTCCTGGCTATACCTTTCTCTTTCTAAAGATGAAGAAAGAAGGTGGGCTGAGGGTAAAAATCTGAACCTGGGCCTATATAATAAAACCACTGAAATTCGTTGAAGAGGGCCAGAGACATAGCTCAGTGGCACAGCACCTGCCTGGCAACCGCAGGGTTGTGAGATCGATTCCTGGTACCACACACAAAAAAAAACAACAACAAAGAAATTAGTTGAAGAGGACTTGTGGGAAACCCACTTTTCCTTTAGCTGATGCCTTCCCTACACACCCACTGAGCTGACATTTAGAGATCAAAATACGGTGGTGCCTTGGTTCACGAACTTCATTTATTCCGCGAGTCTAGAAAAGATGACCACCTTCGTGTTTGTGCAGGAAAGATGGCCGCGGTCATGTCCATCACGCAATGCAGAGTTTGCTAACAAAAACAAAATTTTTGCCAAGCGCTTCCGTTTGTGAACCAAATTGTTCACAAACAAATGCCTTCGTGAACAGAGGCACTGCTGTAACCTGAATGCACAACATAAGGGGGGTGTCTTCTTTTTAGGCTGGAGGCAGATACAATGAAAGATGAGCTGCCCGGAGAGGCGCATATGGCATTGGTAAAAGGGAACAAAAAGAAAGGTAACTTTCACAGACAAATAACAGTATCAGCAATTCTAGTTGTTGTGCTTTTTGTTTTTGTTTTGAGACATGGTCTTGCTATGTAGTCCAGGCTGACCTCAGACTCACAGTAATCCTCCTGCCTCAGCCTCCCAAGTACTAGGATCATAGGTGTCCACCACCATACTTGGTCAGATTCTAGTTTTTGCTGGATTTCCCTGGGTACTCCTCCTAACAGACATTTTCACTCCCCTCCCCACATTGCTCCAGTAAGATCTTTATGTGTGTGTGTGTGTGTGTCTTTTTGAGACAGGGTCTCACTAGGCAGTTCAGGCTGGCCTTGAGCTCACTTTGTAGCCCAGGCTGGCCTCAAACTCGCAATAATCCTCCTGCCTCAGCCTCCTGAGTGCTGGGATTACAGGCGTGCGCCACCACACCTTGCTGTCCAGTAAGATCTTGCAAGCACTTGGGGTTATTGCACTTTCCCACTGTAGTAATTGGTAATAAAATCTCTCCTGTTGTGCATATACATATAGATTTGTTCATTTTCCTGCTTTGATGAAATTATTTCAGAAATTGAGCTGTTAAAGTTTGTGTTTTAACCTGTTTTTTTTTGAACAAGAAATTTTATTAAGAAAGGAGTCAAAAACCCCATTTGTCTGTGTGTTCTAATAACTCAAACCAGTATCTGTAATTTTTCATATCTAAAACTTACACAAATAGGCTGTGACTGTAGCCCAGTGATACAGTACTTGTTTAGCATTCACGGGGCCTGACTTTTGATCTTTTGGCACCACAAAATGAAATCTACAGTGTTACCAGGGTGGCTTCCTTCAATCTGTAAAGAAAGTTTTTGCTCTTTTTTAAATTTATTTTTTGCTGCACTGGGGTGCAGGAATAAATTAAGTTCGCTATGCAGTTCAGTCCAGGCCTTCACACACACTAGGCAAATACTAAGCACTAAGCTACACCCCCAGGCCTCTCAGCCCCAAATTCTGTGTTTCATTTCAAGTGGAAACAGCTCTCAAGGTTATTATCAGTCAGAGGAAACCCACACATTCTGGTGAGCGATGGTAAATCACCAGGTCGCCAAGAGTTCTAGGGATTTTCTTTCCATCCTCACCAAGGCCAGTGTTTGCTTAAGACAGATTTCATTACATTATTAGGTACCTCAAAACTTAATGATCAGTTGTTTTTGTTTTTGTTTTTTTATTGAGACACAGTCTCACTATATACTTCAGTGTGGCCCTGAACTCATTATATAACCCAGGCTGGCCTTGAACTCATGGCGATCCTGCTGCCTCAGCCTCCCGACTGCTGGGATTACAGGCGTGCACCAGCTAATGGTCAATTTTGATGACGAGACTTACCGCTGTTTTAGAATTTCGTTCACTCTATAAGGCAGCTGCGGAAACCTACACATGTGTACTAATACGGAAGACATAAATGACACGGGCTGGCTGGGGGCTGTTTGGTTTTTGTTTTAAAGGGCAGACAGAGCTGCGGATGAAGGCAGATTTCTAATGTACCCAGAGAACAAAATCAGGAACAACAGCAGGCTCAGAGAGGGACCCTCCAGCTGGCTGAAGAGGAACTAGGAAGAGACCAGGAGAGTGAGAGAAAGCAGAGCTGCTCATTAGGCCGGTGAGAAAGTCAGGGCAAGGAGAAGAACAGCAGTAGAAGAACCTGAGGAGGTTTTCACCAACTTCTAAGATCATTTTACTGATTCAGAGAAAATACAAAGTTTTAACACAGCCGAAGATAAGAAGGGGAAGCTTTTCTCTTAGAACCAAGAGTTCCCATGAGTTGAGGAACCACCTAAAGCGGCTTGAACGTGTACCCTGGGCTAGGGTTAGAACTGCTTCACTGTGGCAGAGGGTATTAGGTGGCCTGCCGTCTTTCCTTCATTGCCTAACGCTTTTCAGCGGTACAAACATTTGAGCAAAGATTGGAAAAGACATATGGAAAGTCGCGTTAATCAGGAACATGAAAATATCGAGTCAGGCTGGGTGTTGGTCTTGGTGCCTCGGGACCGTCTTGTTTCACGAGAGACACTCTTGTGGCAGGGAGGAGGATGGCCATGAAGTCACAGCCCTGCTCCTTAAAATCAACTTCAGACGCTCGAGGGGACTCCCAGACACCCTTTTCCGAATGAACCATAGCCAACTCTGGATGTCATGAGAGGAATTTTCTGCAAGCTTTTTTTGGATATATTTTTATTTTTATTTTTATTTTTATTTTTATTTTTATTTTTGAGACAAGGTCTCGCTATGCAGTTCAGGCTGGCCTTGAGCTCATTTTGTAGCCCAGGCTGGCCTTGAACTCGAAACGATCCTCCTGCCTCAGCCTCCTGAGTGCTGGGATTACAGGCGTGCGCCACCACGCCCAGCTTATATTTTTATTTTTACTGCTGTGACGGGGGTAGCGAGTGAAAATGAAGTGATACTCCCCCTTAACATGGATGTCAGCCACTTCAGAACAGCCAGGGGCTTCCAGA